TTACTGAAGCCCTTATAACCAACCACCTGCGCAGTTAGGTCCTGATCCGCACTCACGATTAGTACTGACGGGAACGTCCCTGAGCCTGGGCTCCTTTTTTGCAGCTCACTGTCCATGAATTTGCTGCTTCCTGCATCATCTTGCTGTCTAGGCGCCTAACAAGACAGGGCCCCAGGAGCCAGGGACAGGGCGGTTGCTCCGCAGGCATGAGGGGCAGCTAAGGGAAACAGCACACGTGACGGCCCTGCCCTGGGAATAGCATGCATGGGAAATAAAGGCAGGAAAGACAGCCTCTGAACAGGTGTTCCCATCTGCCAGGAGCACCTGTGTGGTTGAATTGGGGCCACAGAGCGCAGACAGGGAGACTGGGCCCCCAGGGCTCGGGACTTGCTGGGAGGGCAATGCTGATACGTATGGGGCCTTTAGGGGCCAAAAGAGGATGATGCTGACACATCGTCCTCTGCTGCTCCCTCCCTGCCCCTCAAGTGACCTGCCTCCGGCTGCAGTGTTCAAGTGCTCTGGAAGCTCAGGACAAAGGATAAGACCTGGGTGGACAGAGAAGGGTTTATGAAAGACTGCACATGAGTTTGACCACTGAAGAATCAGGGGGATTGGGAGTGGTAGACATTTCAGGCAGGGCAGTTTGCAAGGGTAAACTCAGAGAGGAAGGATGTGGGTGCAGGGAAGAGGAGGGCTCCCGGCTGGGAAGGAAAGAGCACACATGCCGGCATCTACGCTTGGACATCTGGTGGGAACCTAAGGGATGGAGCGTGGTGTCCAAACACAGGATACGCACAGAAGGGGAAGGAGCCAGGGCTTACCAGCATCCATCCCATAATATGGCAGGCTCTGAGCCAGGGGGACTGGTGGTCCAGCTCATGCCAACGGAGATTCAAAGATGCAAAGCTGACCAGAGCATGGCCTGCTAGGGGAACAGTGTGTCCATGTGGTGTGTGGGTACAGTACTGTGGGGAGGGACGGGGGCTGGCAAAGGATATGGGGTGATTCTTTTTTCCAGCTTTATTGAGATATATCTGACATATAACACTGTATAACTTTAAGGTGTACAACAGTGATGATTTGATATGCACATATATTGTGAAACGATTACCACAATCACATTAGTTAACACACCCATCACCTCACTTAGTTACCTTTTTTGTGTGTGTGGTGAGAACATCTAAGATCTACTCTCTTAGTAACTTTCAAATATATAATACAGTATTGTTCACTATAGTCCCCAAGGGCCCCCAGATCTTATCCCTTTATAACTGGAAGGCGTGAGCTTGTAAGGAGACTTCAAAGCCATGCTAAGGGGTGAGTTAGCACAGAGGCCTTTGGACAGGGTTAGGGGGCTTGGAAGATTTTAAGGGGGCACCGGACCCCTAGTCCTGAAGGAAAGTGACCAAGAGCTCAGCTGCTGAGAGTCAGACTGGAACATTCCAACTCACTCATGATGCCTCTGGCAGCAGATCAGATGCGTAAAGGAGCAAGGGTAGAAGAGCGGTAATGCATGAAGCCAGCCAGCCAGAAAGAGATTCAGTATGAGCCCATTACCCAGACGCAAACACTCTCAGAACACCAAAGGTCAAAATGGTGCAGCACAGCCTCCCATTTTAGAGGTCAGGAAACTGAGGCCCAGGGCAGCAAAGGACCTGGTCCGGTTCTTAGAGTGTGCCGAGCCCGGGCCCTGCTCTGCCAGTGCACACGCGCATTACATCTACACGGAAAGGTCATTACAGAAATAAGGAGGCTGTGTGACCTTAAGAAAGCCATTCCCTCCCTGGGAATGGGCTGGGTTAGATCAGTATTTTCAAGGTCCTGGGAAGCATACCGCTAGGGATGCAGGTTACTGGGCCCACTGATTCAGACGTGCTCTCAGTAAACTAAATGCTCTCTAAATTTTTTCCAGGACTAACTTATGAGGTTTGTCCACCCTCCTCCCCCGCTGCTCCCATGAAAAGTCTCCAGTGGGGACAGTGGCTCCTGCCCAGGCTGAGCTGCTCCCACAGCTTGGCCCAGTCTTCTGACCCCAGAGACGGAAGGCTGGCTGCAGATGCCCTGGTATGATTGTTTGGGCTGTACTTCCTGAGGCAGCCCCTACAGGCTTCAGGCTGGGAACACTCAGTATGAAAATCCTCAGAAGAGCTTGCCAACAAACCATGCCCAGATAGCCCTCCATGCCCCTCTGCCCCTCACCGGCTGGTACCTTTGCGAAAGCTGTTTGACTTCGCTGAGCCCCCAGCGATTCCTCAGTCCCAGTGAGGAAATTAATCCAGGTGTGTTGAATCGAGCTCCTGCAAACGGAGATTCCTCGTCAATAGGAACTGATGTCCAGCCCTAGGTTCAACTCTGCATGGAGAGGTTAAATAACTTGCCTAAAGGTCACCCAGCAAGTTAGTGGGGGGTCTGAAGCTGGAGCAGGGGCTCCCACACCCCTAGTGGGGATCCCTTTCCTGCACTGTACCTTGCCTGTGAATAATGACTTTCCAGGGTCATTGAAACGGTGTACTTGCCTGCTCACAGCAGGTGCTCAATGAGAGGAAATTGTCGCCACCTTCTCAGCATGTCTCCCACACTTGGGCCGGTCGCCTCTGAAGTGTGAGTTACTTTAGATGCCCTAACAGGAAGCTCAGGAGAAGCAGTGCATATTTAAAGAGGCCCTTGACATTTGAAGGTTTACCATTTGCATTGTCCATTATTTGAGGGTGTCAATACTATTAAATATATGTAATAGTAATTTTTTAAAAAATCTCCCTTATAAGGTTGTAGTGAGGATTGAATGAGATGATGTATTTAAAGCCCCACTGGTGACTCTCAGCTGACCCTCCACTAGGCCCTGGTGAGAATGAGTCCCTCAGCCAGTGAGGCTAGCCAACCACCTAGCATAGCCAACCACCTAGCATCAGTGTTTCATCAGAGCCTGAGCAAACGTGTGGAGTCCCGAGACGTATTCCCCAGGACTGTACAGCGTCACTCTAGGGCTACAGATAGCACTCTGCACCCCACCCCTACATTTTTACACAGGTCACAGTGCAGTGCTGAGGAGAGAGGCCTAGGCTGTTCTAGTCCCAGCTCTGCCATTACCCTTGCGGTGACCTTAGGGACTTCACCTCCCTGGTCCTAACCCTAACCCTCCCTGGGCCTCAGTCTGCCCACCAGCCAACTGAAGGATTAACCTAGGCCAGTGGTTCTCAGACCACCAGCAGCAGCAACATCCGGCAACATATTCAAAATGCAAACTCTCTGCTCTCTCCCCCGCAGACCTACTGACTCAGGCAGTCTGGGAGGGAGGCCCGGCACTCGGTGTTTCATCAGACCCTGATAATGGCTCATCAAGTTTGAGATCCACTAGCCAGGATGCTCAAAAATCCAATCACCTGGATGCAATGTGGGTTCCAAAGACCATAAGAGCAGCACGCTGGTGGCAGAAGGGCACATGAGATGTCACAGCGGGGGACTTACTGTGCAGCCTGGGGGCAGCTGGTGGGACGGGGATGGCGGTGTCTGGTGTGTGAAGGATACCAACTCTCCCTTCCTCTGCCCTGCCTACCCCACTCTCCACCCCCACCCCCCACGTGCCCTCCAGCCTTCCAGGGAGCACAGGTGGGGGAAACGGATCTGTCCTTTTGGTCCTTCTCCCCTGGTCCCTGCCAGTGTACTCATGAATGTCCTTTTCTCTCCTGCCCCACCCCTGGGGAACTAGCCGGAAAATGAGAGCCAGTGAGACCTCTAGCGGCCAGGGGACACCAGGAGACCAGGACCCGCTCCTGCTGTGCTGGGGTTATGTTGAGTGTGGTTTAAATCTGGCCATTTTAGGGCGGATGCCTGGGCTCCACATCTGCTGCAACCTCAAAACCAAGCCAAAAATTACAGGCAGACGCTCCACCCAAGCCACACCTGCAGGGAGGAGGTGGGAGGCTGGACACAGCTTCCTGGCCTGCCCGGCCTGGTCAAGGAAGGCTGCAGAAGGATCCTGAGAGTTCTCAAAGCTTACCTGCCTCCACTTCTGCGTGGCTGAAAGGCTCCTTTAGCTGGTTTATGCAGCATTCAGTCTTTACAAAAACAGGCTTGAGATGTCTGTTTTCCTTTCAAGACCGCCAGGAGGTGTGTTGAATCTAGCTCAACACAACCCGAATTTCTCTCCATCAGCTCTGGACAACAGGAATTGATGTCTCGTGCTAGGTTCGGCTCAGTGCAGAGAGGTTAAGTAACTCACCTAAGGTCACCCATCACGTTAGCAGTGGGTTTGCAGCTGGAGCAGAGGCTCCCACACCTGCTGATGGGAGCCGCAGCCCCACGTCATATCTTACCTCTGAATAATACTGCTTAAACCCTGAAAAGCTCTGCCCTAGCTTAGGCTGCATTCTTGTTGCACCTGGCTGTTTTGTAAACCCTGGAATTGTCTGCAGACAAAGAGGAGAGCCAAGGGCTGGGGCTCAGAAACCACAGTGCAGGAGTGACTTGAACAAGGTGTGCCTGATCCCTGTAGCCTCCCAGATTAGTGCTGAGGACTGACAGGTCTCAACAGCCCAGGGGCTGGGATGGGATCAGGGTGAACCTCGAGGAAAGACCCTGTTGCCTGGAGAGAGTGGAGCTGAAGGTGCCATCCAGTATGAGAAGTGGCTACCCCACTGGAGGACTAATGAAAGGTTGCTGGCTTTCGGGGCCTCTGTCCCCAGCAAGGCTATTCTGCAGTCTATGAGACAGGCCCCGACAGAGTGGGCGCTCCATTCTCCTGAGCTTATGCGTAACAGGTGTTCTGGAATGACAGCAGCGTCTCTGGGCCCAGCTCCTGATCCACTCTCTAATCCAGGGGAGGAGCCACACCTGTTTGGGGTGGCGCAGTAGTTGAAGGTAAATTCCAGCAGGGGTCCCATTCCTGAGGGTTGACACCACAGCAGTCGGGAGCCTTAGCAGGTTCTGGAGGAAGGGGAGCAGAGAGTGAGGAGTGGCTCCTGGGGTTCTGGGCAGGGACTGACTCTGGTTCTGCCTTGCAGGCAGGACAAGCTGAAGATCCACATGAGGAAGCACACGGGGGAGCGGCCCTACCTGTGCATCCACTGCAACGCCAAGTTCGTGCACAACTACGACCTCAAGAACCACATGCGCATCCACACGGGCGTGCGGCCCTACCAGTGCGAGTTCTGCTACAAGAGCTTCACGCGCTCCGACCACCTGCACCGCCACATCAAGCGCCAGAGCTGCCGTATGGCCCGGCCCCGGCGCGGCCGCAAGCCCGCCGCCTGGAGGGCCGCCAGCCTGCTCTTTGGGCCCGGCGGCCCGGCCCCAGAGAAGGCGGCCTTCGTGATGCCCCCCGCGCTGGGTGACGTGGGCGGCCACCTGGGCGGGGCCGCCGTGTGCCTCCCGGGCCCCAGCCCCGCCAAGCACTTCCTGGCGGCGCCCAAGGGCGCGCTGAGCCTGCAGGAGCTGGAGCGGCAGTTCGAGGAGACGCAGATGAAGCTGTTCGGGCGCGCGCAGCTCGAGGCCGAGCGGAACGCGGGGGGCCTCTTGGCCTTCGCGCTGGCCGAGAACGTGGCCGCCGCGCGTCCCTACTTCCCGCTGCCTGACCCGTGGGCCGCGGGCCTGGCCGGCCTCCCCGGGCTCGCCGGCCTCAACCACGTGGCCTCCATGTCTGAAGCCAACAACTAGGCTGGCCTCATCACCCCCAGTCCTGCTTCCCTGTCCCCTCCCGGGCCCACGTGCCCCATCCGATGGGTCTGAACTTTTTATTTCAAAAGAAAAAAGGAAAACAAATAGCAGCCGCAGTGGTATTTTCTGGGCCTCCCGAGGCAGCTGCCTCCCCTGTGCTGGGGTCTGAGATGGGCATCCCCTCCCCAAAGGCCCGGCCTCTCTCTGGCTGTCTCTCTGCTCTCACACAGAAACTCACAGGGGCCCGTGCCAAAGAGGAGGCCCCAGACCAGGTGTCCAGAAGCACTTTGGAGCTGTGTGGGGCTAGACGGAGGGAGGTGGCTTGGCCAGAGGCAGACCGGATAGATGGAGCAGGGCTGAAGGTAGGGTCCCGAGATACACATCCTGAGCCCCGCCACTCTAAGGCAGAGTCCCTGCTGACACGGTTCCGATGGGTCACTTTTCCCATCTCCAGTGGCCCTGGGATCCTTAGGGGAAGTGACCTATAGGCAGGGAGAGGGTCTCCTGGGGTCCGGGCCCATTTTTCCCTCCCTGTCCTATGACCGCGGACAGGTCAGCCGTCTGTACCCCAGTTTCACCCTGCTGTGAAAGGGGGCTGGAAATTTTGTTTCCCCCTCCCATCCACCCACCGACACACTCGAACATGCCCATCCCTCCAGAGAGAAGCCTTGAGAGAGCAGGGGCTTTGCAGTCTTAACGTCCCTGGTGACGCTGTTTCACTGGACTTAGTTTTATCACGTCCACCTCTACGTTGGCACAGGTGAGAAATGTGGCCAAACTAGACAGGCTAACAGAGGAAGAGGGCTGGGGTGGGCTTGTCCACAGCCCCCAGGCAGCCTTGGGGAACTCTAAATCCTCCCCTCCCCTCTGGGCAGGCCACTGTGCGCATCCGGGGGCTACCATCTCGCATTGTCCCCACCTCTGCGTGGTCCCTCCAATGCCATAAGGAGTCTTTCAGGACTCCGAGGGCCAACACGGAAGGAATGGGGTCCTCCTCTTAACACCTGGCAGCTGCCCCTCTCCACCTGATTCCTGGAAACAGACAAAATGCCCAGTTACCCAGGTGTATGTTTGCTTTTCAGTTGGGGGCTTCTCAGGACTTTGGCATCGCTGTGTTTGAACACCCTCAACCCCTCCGTGGTCCCCCAGGGAGGAAGCCAGCTGTCCAGTGTGGGAAGTCAGAGGCTTGGCTCCAATATGGGCTTGGAGGGCTCTGTGGGTGAGGGCTGTCCACGCATTCTCCCTGGCTCTCTGGTTTGTAGCCGGTCCTGAGAAGGAAGACAGCTCTGCTGGCCCAGTGCCTTCCAGATCTTCTCTCCCCTTTCCTGTCCTTCCCTCCCTTTTCTTGCTGAGTTTGCTTTTGTTTCTCAGTAGCCCAGAGAAGGGAGGAGAGTTCTCCTGTGCAGATGGCCCAGGGCTGGTGTCCCCAATCCAGGAGCTGTGGGCACAGAGACTTCGGCTCTTCCTATTGCCTTGGCTTCTTCCTGAGCAAACGCAAAAAAACAAAAAGGCCAGAGAAGACCACAGACTCTGTCACTCTCCCAGCTCCCCCGCGAAGAGACCCGTGACTCCACACACCACCAGCTGCCCTTTCAGCCAGAGGGAACTGTTGCTGACACCCTCTCGTCCTCAGATGTCATCTGCTGGCAGCTGCCTCTCACACTCCTGTCTCCATTTCTGACCCTCGCTTCTGGGACCCACCAGCCAACATGCCTGTGTTCCCCCCGCAGCCAAGGGAGTGGGGCTGAGCCAAACTCTAAGAGAAAACGAGGAAAAACGAACAAATTAGAAACCAGTGGTGTTGGGGCTTTTGTTTTTATTTTGTAAAAGTAATGACTTCTCATAAACTCAATTTTTCAGACGACTGGTTAGTTCTTTTTGTTTTCTCTTGGCTACAGTTCGGAGTTGTACATTGTAACATATCCAAAGATGTCGAGTACTGTATGATCAAGAACTTGAAGCAAATGGGTCGTGGAGGTAGGGATGGTAGTGTTTGGTTTTGTTTCCCTTTTTTTTGGGGGGGGGGGACATTTCAGTTTCCCTGTCTGTGGGAGAACTTTGGAATTTTTTTCTATTTATAACTTTTTTTTTATGTGATTGCTTTATGTAAAATGACACTCAACAAGGTTTGCCTTAGTGATTCAAGGGACAATCTTCCATAACTTTGGTCGCACGCTGCATCCCGCCGAGAAAAACTCTCAGCTAATTTTCTGGCCTATTTATTAAACAGTATTAATTGACTTGATTAAATGATATTGAGAGTTGCACTTCTGTGAGAGGTGACAGCCACAAGACTCTCTGTAGACATCCGTGGCTTAAGAGGTTGACAATTGGGTGTCACAAACTTATAAAAATGTTGAAGATGCCTTTATAAAAAACACAAATCTTTGACCCTTATTTAATAACGTGAGGGACAGCATTTTAAGTAAAAGAAAGCCACACTTACTCAGTTCCCTGGTTCAGGTTGACTCCCTTTTGCATTGTCACTGCAGGTGACAGTGGGTGGTTGTGTGGTGGCGAGGTCAGATCGTCAGGGGTCCCCTGCATTGTGTGAGGCTCTGCTTGACCATAAGCTTTTGGGTATCTGTGACTCCGAGTGTGAGGCGTGTGTGTGTGTGTGTGTTTACACGTGCAGGTACAGCCTATTGTGTGTGAGCAAGTGAGAGTCGAAGGGTTGCTGACCATTTTAACACATCAGTCCTACCAGTTCCCTGGCTTGGATTCCAGAACAGCCTCTGGCTGGCCCTGCTACCGTCTCGGCCTTCTTCCCTCTATTCCTTGGCACTGGAGTTGGACTTTTCTTCCTCGTTCACCTGATCCTTCCCAAACAGAATACTAGGCCCTGAAGGAGGTAAGAAAATATATTGCTGTCATTGAATGGTGTCAACTCTACTCAGAACCTGGAGCACAGACTCTCTGAGTAAAATTGGTCTTTGCACTGCGTTTTCTGTATAACCAAGGGTTAAGCCCAAGACACTTTTCTGTGATCAGATCCCCTTTCTTGCCATGGTAAGCATTCTTATAAACCCAATGCAACATTTCTCAGTCCAGGCGAAAGAACAGATCTGGGTTCCAAGTCTGGACTCCAAGCCATGTGTCCTCAGGCTAATCGCTTCCCTACCTTGGTCCTCCGTTGCCTCATTCTAATAGCAAAGGAGACTGAGTTTCTCCAAGAAACTCAGGAACTTAGAGCCTCTCCAAGTTTTCTACCCAACTTAAACACCCCTCCGCCAAGGGAGCCAGCCCTCTGGGGGACTGGGAACTGAATTCTAAAGAAATAGCCTGAAGCAACCTTCCCGGAGTGTGATACTCCTCTGAGAGCTCAGGTAGTGGCTTTGAAATTCATGCTTCTACATTCTATCACATGATAGATATGCATTTGTCTTAATATAAAAATATCATCTTGAACATTACTTGCCTTTTCCGCAGGATCTAGTAAAGTCAGTGTCCCTTGGCTCCCCTACAGCTTGGAGAGGCTCGAGCTCACGGTTGACTCAGGGCATGAGGGGATGGCCCAGTGCAAGGAATACGAGAGCAGCTGCCTGTCAGGGTTCCCTTCAGCACATGTATTCTAGCATCATCAGGTCCTCATTCTGGGGCTCGGTGTCCACTGAGGGCCAGAGGTGAACATGGGGAAGAGGTAGGGAAGTGGGCCCCCTGGGACCTGACCTCTGGGGGCTCCTGAGTTTCTCATGGGAGTCAAGTCGCCTCTAGTCCTGGCCAGGCAGGTGTTTCACAGTCACGCAGGACATGGTCTGCTCCTCAGATCCCAGCATTGGGGTGCTGATAGCAAAGGGGTCTTTGGTAGAGGGGGAGGGACAGGAAGGAGGATGAAGTTACTGAGGACAGGCCAGAGAAGCAGGGGCATCTTACCCTGGAGGAGAAGGCTTAAGATACATTAGAACAGGCCTTGGAACTTCTAAAGATCCGTCAGAGAGAGGAAGGATCTTACCAAAAGTTTGGCCAACTCAAACCAACAGGAGAGAGATTCCAGGAGACAGCTGGATGTCCAAAGGAAGGAAGATGATTTCCTAACAAGTGGAGTTGTCCTAAAGGGGAATGAGGTCCCTCGTGAGGGAGGGAGCTCTCCGTCACTGGAAGGGTTTAATATCAGCTTTCAAGAATGAGGAGATTCCTGCATGGAAGGAGGGCTTTCTAGATGACCCGTCCCTTGGGTCACTTCCATCTGATTTGTGAAAAGAAGACTATATTATATATCTTCATATGACCACGGAAGAAGGACTGTACCAGGGGACTGGGGGACAAGTGAAACAGATGAGGTGAGACACCTTCACAAAACCCAGCTTGGTGGCATATGACTGCCTGCTGCCCGCCCAGCCCCCCACCCGATGACCTACAGCAACTTGGGGCCAGAGAAACAGGACTCTGTGTAGAAAAGGCCCTGATTTATTTCGAAACCCTGCAGATGTGACAGGAGATCACTAATGAACCGACAGGAAGTCAGACTGTCTCTGTCTCAGGCCTCTTCACCTGAGCCCAGGGCCCGCACTTCCCGAGGGGTGCAAAGGTCTCCACTTGCAGTCCCGCAGAGGTCCCTGCCCTGTGTTCTGCCACAGCGCTCCGCAGACCCCATCCTCCTGTCCTGGGAGCCTCCCCAGCCCTTCCGCCTGAGGCTCCTCGGAGCAGTTCCAGAAACAGGCACGACTGCGTTTCCCCTGTGTGTGCAGTTTCCCTTCTGAGAGCCGGGTGGAGTGAGGGCTTCTGAAGGGAAAGTGAGAGCAAGACAGGGAGGCCTCCTCGGCCAGTTCCCCTCGTCTGAAAAGTCTGTCACTCAGACAGGAGCAGGGAGTCAGAAGTTCCTGCAGGAGGGAAATGCAGCCTCCGTGCAGAGGGTCAGAGGCCCCTAGAGACCAGGGACAGATTCTGGAATCCAGGATGTTTGTATGCAGGTGCCCTACCTCCCAACCCCTCCAGTGCTCCTCCTCCCCTTCTCCTGGTGCCTCTTCCCCCCACCACTGCCCTTCAGGATGTGAACGCCCTCTCTCCCCTCTGCCCTCCCCTCTGTCCAAACCCTGATAGGAGCCACCAGGGGCAAACACGACTCACAGGCTCCCTCTTCCGGCCTCTGAAGCCCTTGCTCCTTGCTCGAGGTGGAAAGAAAGTCCCCAGCAAAACGATGTCAGGCCCCAGGCACCAAACAAGGGTGGCTGATTTGGACAGAGGGCCTCGAAATCAGACCGGTGGGCAGGTGCCAGCCTGCCCCAACCTCCCAGTCCGCCCTCCTCTCCCCTGCCTGCTTCGGGCACCAGAAGCAAACAGCTTCTTTCCTCCTTTCAGGTTTGAAGTACTGAGGATTGAGTCAAACACACATTTCCAGCTATTGATGGGGAGAGAATTCCCTGGGGAGGCCCTGCTCATTTTTCCCTCCTCGTTACACCCTGGGCAGGGGCGGCTGTGACCTTAAAGGGCAGCCCCACAGGGCCTAACCAAAAAACATGGGCCCAGAAATAGCCTAATACATGAGGACAAGACATCTCAAATATGGACAATTCCGGAAAACCTCAAAACTGATCATTTTATCTGCACCAGACATACACACACACACACACACACACAAACACACACACACACACACACACACACACTCACTCACTCACTCATCAGACTAATGATACACAGGCTGATGTCATCCCTCCTTGTAATAAAGGAGACCGAGCAGTGCACCAATAAGACCCAGCAAAGCCATTTTTCCCACAAGTCTCCCCACTGGAATATTTATAACACACACTCTCATTTCCATCCTTGTGATTCCTCTATTTAACCATGAACTGTGACCCTGACAACTAGAACAAAAGAATAAACAAATAGGTTTCTGGAATAAGGAAGGAAGACAGGGTGAATCAGATCCCGTTTCCCATGTTCCTCTAAAAATGAATAAATTAAGCACAAAGCCGCATAGTAACAGAAGTCTTTATGCCCCTGGGAGACTCTTACCTCGATTGGTCAGCTGGCACCTATGAGGCACGTGTCATTATCCCTATTTGTACCAATCGGGTTCTTAGTCAAACACCAGACCCCATCTCAGGTAGCTTAAGTAGAAAAAGCAATTACTAAAGGAAATTAAGTCCCTAACAGAATCTCCACAAAGCCCAAAGAGTCAGGCTCGAAGAGCCACCAAGTTCAGTTGCGCAGGTTGCATACCGCACAACACAGCTTTTGAGGGGGCGCCATTCACACCCTAGACAGGTTTGTATATTTGTTATACCATGTACTAGATTTCCATAGCATAGCAGTTTCCCAGCAGATGTCAGTAAAATGTCTGGAAGGGGTGCCCTCGGCTAATTTGCAGAGTCCATGGCCTGGAAGCCAGGAACCCAGAAGCACCCCCAAACCACGCTGTGGCCAGTTGCTCCAGCAGAGATTTGATTGCTGCTGCTGCTGCTAATGATGATGGTGATGATGATGACAGGCCCAGACCTCACAGCTCACCCCACTAACACCAGGCCCTGGACCCTAGGACTCTGCCCCGTAGCCCACTCTCTGCCACCACGCTCCCCAGAAAACGGCTTCTACACATTTGCACTTGCTCCCATCGCTCTAGTCCTTCCTGATTGGAAGAGCTCAGGCCCCATGCCTCAGCCCAACTGCAGGCCGACTGGGCAAGTAAGCTTCTGGCTTCTGCCTTGAGAAGGAAGGATTCAGGATGCAAATTCTCCAAACAGAGGAAGAGCTCCAGTAATGTTGGGTGGCCTCAGAACATGTCACGTATCCATGCAGTACCTGGCAGATGAAGGGCCCAGAGCTCAGTGGCAAAACCGTGAGGACAAGGCTACAGGATGAGCTCTAGCAGAGTCAGGGCTGGAAGCCTGGTCTGCTGACTCCTGGCCAACTGCCCTGCACTGT